TATATATATATATAGCTATATATTCATATATATATTTAAAACAGATAAACAATATATGGTAATTAAAAAAATAGTATTTCTGTCTAAGAAAAACAACTAGTGGAAGCTGAGTCCCTTTTTCTTTTAGAAAGAAAAGAAATCAAATGTGATACAGTAAATAAAGACAGTTTGAACATCATGTCAGTTTTCGTGATAAGAAAAAAAAAGTGCAACTTACACCATGGCTTTTGAAAGTAACAATGGGAATAACTGAAATTGGTAAAATGGATGATGACGCTAAAAATACAATTTTATTTTGTGAGGGAATAAATGAAACATCAAAAAAAAGGGAAATATAGGAAACGATACAGTACGCATAAATATAAATGAAAACGTCAAAAAGTTTAAAAGGACTATCACTTTTAAAAGATTTCTAACGTGTCAAAGAATAGAATTAAAGATATTTGCATTCCATACCCACTAATGCATACATACATATTCACAAAGATATCAAAAGGTATTTCTACACATTTGCAGAAAATTCATCTGATATAGTTGCTTATACATGTCGAATATGTATTATTCATATGATCCATGTGATTTCTTTTTCCACTGAAATTCGGTATTTCGTGTTGCTGCTTCGTACTGCTCCACATCTCGAAAAGCGTGATAAACTTCAAGTTGAAACACCTGCCACGCGAGTTTCCAATATTTCACAGCTTCCTGTTCCTGAATCATTCTACGTTCAAATTGTTCCTCACTATCCGTGATATGTTCTTGTTGCTCTATTGTGAGGAATTCAACTCGTTCTTGATCTTCCTCTCGCTCAATGCGATGCCTGTGATGCTCTTCTTGCATTGTTAACGCGCAAAATGCGGTATGCGCATTCACGAGGGAGAATTTCCTTGCTTGAGACATCAAACACCCGAAAAGGACCGGAAACCGAGCCACCTGCTCCGCAAGCTTAATTGAAACAATGCCGTGTGAATACGACGTGATTAGCTGTATGCGAAGAATGCACACGCGGTCGATCTTCTCCATCATCTCAACCAACTCCACGAAAAGCTGATGACGCTTAATGTGGATCTCGCTAACAAGATATCGTCGCGCAGCATCCTCGTGGTTTTTTAATTGTTCATGTTGGTTGAAACGAACTATCTTTTGTGCACGGTGTCTTGCAATCCAAGCACGCAAAAAGCCATATATGCGAGTTGTGCTGCCAGTTGGTGCCAAATAACGTAAGTAGCGGCCTAAATTCTTAAAATGTTTATTAAAACGATCCTCCTCTTCGTCTAGTAGCTGCCTCCGAGCTAAAAATTCCCTTGCAGATAAACGTTCAATTGCTAGAGATAGTGCTGGGCTGGTGTAGGACCTTAAATGCGCCTGAGGAAAGCCATTACTTTTTCGGTGTAGAACTGAGTTGCTTTTGCCATTTTTGAGGATTCCACTTTGATAAATATTGTCTCTTGTGGGAGAAGAAGGGTAACCAAAATGCGCCGGAAGTGGAATCGTGAGAAGAAAATTAAGCCATTCCTCCATAATGCGCTCTCGTGCAACGTACTCATCACGCTCAAAAAAAACCTTCCATCCACTGGTCAAATAAAACCTTGGACGCTCCGTGGATTCAACTTGTTTTGATTTGATTGAACGCAAACATGCACTGCAGTACGTAGAGAATATGCTCCTCATATGTGTTTCCTCATCATCACCCGAGGTGTCACCAGACGCCCTCGTGCGATCCCTTTGGTAGTACGTAGCTGGCGGCGGTGCAGAAGGCCTAGACGGACGTGGGATGAGGGCCTTAGTAAGCACTTCACACGGTGAAGAAACTCCCTGAGAGCTGGTAAATAAAAACGGCAATTCATTATTACCTCCACATCTGCAACATTTGTCGCCATACGCCGCGCTGCGGCCAAACCTCATGTAAACGACCGGCCGCACACTGTATCTTCCCCTCCAGGCGCCGCCCCACTCGCGCGGTTTATCATCTGCGTTGAGAACTCTAACCGGGTTAAACAATGGCAACTTATGAATCGACGAGGTAGGCTTTAAGGGGTGTATCTCATTTCTTCTATTCTTGGAGGAATTCATAAGCCGCAGTGGCGAAAGGCATCCTTGTGTGTTAATCAAAGAAGGCAGTGTATGTTGAGTGAATACCGGCTTTAAACGCGCAATAGATTCATTGTTCCTTATCCACGTCTCATCGTTGTTTAAGCCAGTTGAGGGATATCTCAAATCATTCATATTGAATACTTATTTATTTTGTATTTTTTTTTTTGCTTTACTCTTAATGACCCTTCGTTGCACGAGCTTTTTCAGTAAAGCGAAAAGCTAAAATCACAAATATGTGAAGAAAAAAAACCAATGTAAAAATTATGTTAGAAATAATCAAATACTCCTGTCTTGAAAACGGATTTATTACACTATACCTCGCCATCTGAAAGGCTAACCAGTAGAAAAGAATAACAAATGTATCTAAGTATAGGTACTTTACACCGAAAAAAATTTAGAAATAAGGTATCTATCATCATTTTGAAATAACGCATATGTCGACCGCTTTTCTGAAACATACTTTATTGTCTCAACTCTTGATGCTCGTAGCGGCCAATGCAACGAAGAAAAAAAGAACGAGAAAGGGAATAAGATGGCAATCCCAGCTTTAACCTTAGAACCGCTCAGCCATCCATCAGCAAGGAGCGATTCACCCGCCGGAGCTCGGCGCCCTCCTCGAGCAGCGACCGCAGTCGTTGGTGGATCGAGGCCTGGTCCATCTCTTGTTTCAGCCGGTGCAGCTGTGCCGTCTCCTGCCACGATGGCACAGAGGCA